GTGGCCACTGTTCCAAGGCAATGAAGTCGGGAAACTCGTTCTAGCGGCAGTATACAATATTTCGCTGGACCCCGTCTTGTCGAAATGTCAATGCCAAGCGTCAGGTGCCTCCTATACAGCAGGAGCTGGTCCTCGTTTTTTCTCAATAAAATACAGAGATTGGCCGCGTCTCCACATCGGTAATGGTGCCTGTAAACCTTCAAAGAGACTGGGTGGACTTTGAGCTGGATCACTTCTCTCGAATTAATTTTGCATTTCGTTCTTTTTATTGAGTACCTGTTCCATAGTAAATATCTTTTCAATGGTGAACGAAATTCGTCTATGAGATTCCTATGACAGCGACCTAGCAACCTTCGTGAGCTTTCATTTCACCTCTTTTTCGGCTTTCTCACTCAAAAATTTGCCTTCCGATTAGTTGTAGGCTTTTCGTGCAAGTGATAATTTCAACTCTTAGCAGGCAGGATATTTGATAAGATCGCCATTCCTCCAGCCATTTTGAGCACAGCTCAAGCTCCAATGCGCTGATCGTCGAACGTACAAGCTGTCTCCTCACGTTGGGTCGAGTGCAGATGACTGGCGCCAAAAGTCCTTGTAGATACGAAAGATGGCTACGGCGGAATGACGCTATGATTATTTTTGAAACTTGCTCAATTTCCAATGTCAGCAGGAACAAAATTATGTGAACTTCCATATGCAGTTAAAAAACAGGCCAAGCATGCGGAAATTCAGGAAAAAGTCGTTTTGCTCGCGAGGGCTGTCATTGCAATTCTGGCCCCTTTACCTATAAGGCTCCTGGTGCTTTTTGTGTTCCAGTTGGTTGGTTTTTCTTGCCTGTTCTTTCGCAGAACAGCCACTAGCAATGATAGGACGATCAACTGTAAAAGGAAACTAAGAGGCACTTGATTTTGTGTTGCGAGAGCACACGCTCAGCACCTTCTCTGTCACCCCCAAAGGTGTTTGATGCATTAAAATGTGTACCACCCTACAAATATGGTTCCCTTTGTAAAGGTAGGCGATGCCCGAAATGACTGCAAACTAGTCTCGTCGAAATTAAAGAAGAGTTCACCGGGTGCCGTTTGTACTAGTCCATCTACCACTGTGCATAGCCTGTTGCAAAACAAGCTACTTTGGAATGACGATCCATAGAGGTTAGTCCCTCCATATGTTCCTTTTACAAACATCAGGCCCTGCCTAGCTCCAAGCGTATTTTAGCAAACAAAATTCCAAAGAAATTATAGACAGACCTGTTAACGAATTTGCCCCAAAGGAAGCAAAAAACCATGAACCAATGTGGATCTGAAATGAGAGATTCTCTATTAGGTAACCTTCACATTCCAAGAATAAGTCGTGTTCGAGGAGCTTGCTCGAGGAAGAGTCTGGAAAGCATATGGGGCACACGACGCAATGGCAAGGCTGCCAAAGAGGTGCAGCACTTTCACGACGAAAGGTACGCCGATTGCTGAGCTATACCATCACCGCTGCGCCCTCTAATCGATCCACCCACTAGTTGTCGGAGATTTGAGCGAGCTGGCCAGATTGATGTGTAATACCAAAATGTAGTGTGGAAAACCGTGGATTAAAATTAGATTGGGCGTTCCCGTGTGATTTTTTCAAAACGGCATTTCTTTCGTTCGATTTCTTACACTACAGCTTTATTGGACAATGGCTTTTAAAATCATACTACAATTTTGAGGGTAACTACAGTCATAGCAGACACAATTTTTTTGTCTTGTTTTTGTTTGTTAGCTGCTGTTTTTGGCCGAAGTTCGCCTTGCGAATGTTTCACAAGAATGCTGGATTGTGACCCAGGCGGGGCAAAAGTTTTGTTCACAACCCAGCATTCTCGTGAAACAATTTTTTGTATTTAATTATCGCTGATGAGTAGTTTTTTGTTGTACATCGTGCATGCGTTTTTTATGTATATGTATTCTATTGACGAACTCCCATTTTGTTGCACCTCGTACATCTTTCGAGGAGGTGTTGCTTGTCTTAAGAATGTGAAAAGATACCCTGGGTAAGTCATCCATGTGTAGTGTGTCTAGATCGGATTCTAAGTCTGAGCGAAAATCGTAGGAAAATAAAGTGAGCCTGTTTACGATTTCTTAATAGGTTCTTCGTTTTTTTTTCGTATGTGCTCCTTAATGCCCTCCAAATGGTCCGAACGCCATCCTAATCACGTCTCTAAGATTCGTCAAATACATATAACTAAATGTTTTGCGAATATAATTATTATGGATGGTCGATTCTATCTGTTTAATGCCACAGTCCATCAAAACTTACGAGATAATGATGAAGACGCGGAATATAATGTAGAAAGGTTCCTTCGGTCTGTAGTATAGAGCCCTAAGGACAGTCACAAATGGGGCGTTTCCGTGCATGGAAATCACCTAACATGAGCCTTAGAGCCGTGCCGTACTTCCTTTGGTAGCAAATGGAAGCCCTACTGCATGCTCCTTTTGTGAATCTTGAAAGTGCTGTTTAACCCTTTCCGGACCGCGCACTTTTTGCGCTCACGGCCGCATGCTGCGCGGCAAGCATAAATATCATATATTTAATCTGTATTCCCACTAAAGCCATTATTTTGTCTCGTTTATGTCTTTGTCATGTCTCGAAGAATATATAAGATTAATTTGACAGAAAACTGTTTTGCAAAAAAAGGGAAAGGGCCATAAAAAGGGAGGAAGGGACGAAAATTGTTCAAAATAAGTTGGTATGGAGAAAAAGGGAGTAGAACGTGCCCAAAACGATTGGATCCATAAGAATCAGATACGACGAGCAGGATATTTCACAAATTCTTCGTTTTTAAGTGTTTTCAAGCGAACTACAACTGTTTTCTTTGAGCCCAAAGTGGAAGTCCATTTACTCTTTGGTTATTTTAGAACCTAGATTAAACCTAAAGTCTAGGTTTTTTCATACATATGGCATGAGTCTGTTACATAGGTATGTAACAACATAAAATATTTTATCGAAAAACCAAACTCTTGGAAAATCAGCTCTTGAAGTTCCTGACACACCATGTGTGTCAGGCGGTCCGGAAAGGGTTAAAGTCGAAAGTACATGACTTATCAGATGGTCCATTCAGTCGTAATTTCTCGCAATTCGGTTTACGAAGATACGAAGGAAATGTCTTTTGAAGGTCACTGGCGTGATTTTGTTCAGCTTTTTGTAATACCAGCGTTCCCTCAAGTAAATGAAAAATACCCTCTGAAAAGCCAACTGATCATCCAGATTCATGAAACCCCGGATTACTAGAGAACCGTCACCTTCTGATGAGAAGTGAAACAGCAATTTCACTTCAAGAAAATTGAGGATTACGACTAAAGCAACGCACGCTTAAGGAACGGTGCAATTATCACGAACAATCCTTGCAACAGCAGAGTTGACACGCACAAAATTCGCCGACCTGTATACAACATTAGAGGAATTACAGCAAGACCACCTGAAAACGTCGTTACATTGAAAATGAAGTGCTCTTACTTCCACACCAGAACAGAAAGACAAAACTCCATCAGGATATCAACACAATTCAGTGCATGCTCAACTTTCTAAGGATACGTCGAAGTGACCATATTCAATGAGACCAATGTAGTCCCAAAGCAGTCACCGATGCAGACTGCGGAACGACATACCAACAGGCATGTTGACAATGTCGATATCGATGGAACCCCAACACTGACTTGCTTGTCGATTGGTACGCTTTACCTTCCCCCAACCGTGAGGTATTGGGTGGAGCGTAATATCGTAGCGGTTGGATTCGGCAAAAACATTCAAAGCAAAACCAAAAGCAAAGCCAAGCATGAAACTGATCAGTGATGTTCTTCTCGTTCATTATTTACGACTTTGATTCCATTTCGCAAGAAATTACAGGATCAGAATTTAAAAAAGTACTGAGCCCGTTTTCAGAGTCCTCATTATTCTCAATTTTCACGTCGTTTCTACGTGGATATGATTTGAAATTGAGGGTCGACTGGAGTAAGGTTCGATGATGGCGATGGATTTGAAAAACTCCTATTTTGGCAGCTTTTTTCTTATATAGATTTTCGCCCATCTTGATTTCTCCAACTTCTAAGCACCATATCTGAGTACACTTACAATACAGAAGAGGGACAAAAAAGGTATTGTAAAGCGGAAGAAGCCTCTTAATGATATATTATTACCAGTTTAGCTCCGCACGCAACCGCGCGCATCACATGGTAGGCTTTAGTGAAAGCTGGACAACTTGCTGAATATTAGGTCACGTGGCTGAGAAACTAACAGTAAGATGTTTGGAAGATGTGTCACATGAATTTCGAAGGCCGTCCAATTTTGCTGAAGATTGTAGCGTAATGCGCGCAGTAGCATGCGGAATGAAAATACACTTATCATGACTTCGTAAACATTTAGCATTGATATCGAGCTCGGGTGATTTAGCGGTTTATAGAATTTCCACAATTGAAGAATCGGTGTGTAAGTGAAATATAACCAATCAATCAGCATCTACCATGATGGAGATTGCAAATATGATGGAAATTCGCTATTGGTCAAAGGTTGAGCAGCTCAACTTTCTTTGCTCCTTTAGATGGAAGAATAGGAATGGAACATATTAACGCGCTAGGGACCTGATTTAGTTCAATTGAGTGCACGCTCAACTGTCGCTACTTTTACAGTACA